CTTTAAAACCTTTCAACGACCCCAACCAGTTTGCTTATAAACATAGTAGGAGTACGTTAGATGCCGCTGTCGTCCTCCACCATAGCATAGTCTCTAGTTTAGATAAAGGAGCTAAATACGTTCGCTGTGCCTTCCTTGATTACACATCTGCATTTGACTCTGTTCCCAGGTCTCTCTTGCTAAGTAAGCTTGCTGCAACACAGGCTGAAAGCTGGACAAATAAGTGGTTGCATTCCTATTTTTCTGAAAGGAAGCAGTACACCGTCTACAATGGAAAATCCTCCACTACCTCACTTACTTTAGCTGGTGTTCCTCAAGGTGCTGTTCTTTCTCCCTTTCTGTTCTCGTTTTTCTTACATGACTTGCCTCATTCTGATGTAGCCACTTTTGTTAAATATGCCGATGACCTCTCGGTTTCTATGCCTGTCAACTCTCAGTCAGATTGTTCCAAATTAAATAGCTTTCTGTCGGAAATTAGTCAGTGGTCCTCTTCAAACGGACTTAAGCTTAATCCGTCTAAATGTCAGGTAGTCAATTTCACTTTCAGACGTAAATGTGACCTACAGCAACTAGTTAGCTCACATGGCCCCACTCTCATTGACGGCACAGAGGTTGAAAATACATCTTATGTCAAGTACCTTGGGCTGAGTTTTTCCACCGATCTTTCCTGGTCTTCCCACATCTTGCTAGTTACTAGAAAGATGTTTCGCTTAACGTTCTACATTAGGAAATTTAGGCAGTCTGGCATAAACCAGTCTTTACTTTCTCAGTTTGTAAATTCTTGTATTCTACCCATCCTCCTTTACTGCTCCCCATTAGTCTTTCCTGGACTACTTAAGAAAGACTTTGCTTCGCTGAGAAGGGCACTAAAAGCTGTTAGTAGGGCAAGTGGGATATCGTTAAACCAACTGGTGAACACTATTGTAGATAGACATATTATGTCATGTAAGAAACTAGCGAATACAATATTGTCGGACCCCAAGCATCCTCTCTATACGCATCTATCTCCTTGCATTTCATCTGGAAGAACTAGAAGCAGCTATAGGAGGCTATATGCTAGGACTACCAAATACAAAAACTCCACAATACCATATCTGGCACAGCTGTTATGTGATGAGAAATCCGTTAGGTATGACACGATAAACTTACTGCGGCACTCTAACAAATAGTCCCATTAGTTTTTGTTTTCCTTTCCTCGTTACTATCACACTGTTGTTCTCATCTAGTACCACACATCAACTTTATATTTCAAATCCTGTGTTGCATTGTTTGAAATGAAATACTCTACGTTGTTTTTTTTCTTAATTTTTAATAAAAAAAAAATTTATTTATTTATAACTAATTTATTTTATTTTTATTTATTTATCTTTGATTTTTAAAAATCTTATATAATTTATGAGGTAATTAGATGCAATATACTGTAATGCACGCTGAAAATTCCATACCTGTACCACAAATACTGTTTGGAATAAAGCTGTTATTATTATTATTATTATTTAGAACAAATAACAGATTGGAAATCACTGAAATCGTCTGAGAACCGTTTTGCGTTGAAGATCCTCACCGAGTATTCGAAGTATAGCGCAACGCTCAGTGAAGCAAAGACACCTATAGATTTTATCCATGAATGTATCAAAACAGCCTACTACCCCAAAATTTCTGGAATTCGGTACGTCGTTCCCGAGTACGACCAAACGCAAGAACATTTAGGCGTCATGCTATAAATCAGATTGACGCTTTAATTATTTGCCTTGAATTCTTACAGAGTTCAAAGGAAACATTGCATGTTATTATGTGGGTTCACTGTTTGACAAAAAACTCCATTTTATTCACAACTGTCACCAAATAAGTACTGGCTGAAGTGGTTATGGAAGTTATGCTGGTTAATTTTCGTAGAATCTATCCTTATTAAACTTCGCTTTGTATTTATATGATAATGTGATGAACATGAACTCTTGGTTTCGCATACTTTTTAAGTAAATAAATAAACTGTCATAAATGTAAACATTTATCCACGTCAACAGCCTAGTATTTTCTAGTGCATTTTCGAAATTTAGGCTTGTTTTAAGTGAGTTTCAATTTCAAAAGCTGAATAACTTGACTTCTGTTGTATGCTTAAAGTCAGAAGTAGTTAAAGTTGATTAATAGATCATATTTCGCAATTTCGCAACATCAACTTTTTGACACACTACTCTGTTTATCGACTTTTCACTTTTCTATTAGGTATATATATATATATATACATGATCCATCAATATTTCCATCAATACAGGTATACAGACTGCTTTGTTCTAATACAAAGAGTCATATAATGGGACAACTACGAAAGTGATGTTATATGCTAGATATTCAACTACCATTAACTATGTTAGAAAGACAAACTGTATTCTTAATGCTTGTGGTGAAAATTTCCACCCCATTAGATCTATTATCTCTTAAGAGGCCATTGAATGACTTGGGATAATAAGAAACTCTTCTCGTTGACAGTAAAAGTTTGATTTATTGTTGTACTAATAAAAATGATAGTATCACAAATGCTGTAGTATTGACTGCTGTGATCGTGCTGCTGTACCATGAAAGAAAATGAACTTCCATAAAGACCTTCTCACTTTTGTAAACTCCACTTGAAATGTCTCTCCAGGAATTTAATGAGAACTTGTCAGTGACTGACAAAATACCCAGGGCGATTATGAACCCACTCAAAGGAATCCTAGAGACAATATAACCCGCATCTAGACAAGGCATCACACTTAGCAACTGTGGCCCAATGATTTCATCAGACTAAATGATGGTGTAGAAAACGAAAGTGAATAAATAGCTTATTGGATTAAACATTTGACAAGAAAACGCCGAGGGCATCCAAAATTTACCGTTCATCGAAATGATCTAATCCCAAGGGTGAGTATTGATGGTTCAGCATAATTTAACATTAATGTGATCTTTCTTAAACTAGTTTTTGTGAATTCATAACTCAGATTAATGAGGTTAAGGTAAAAACATATAGTTGTAATGGTCGCCATGAAACACTATACCGGTCTGTGAATGCATTTGCATCTAACTGACGAAATGCATGTCAATCAGTAAAGTCCACATATTCATATTCCAAAAAATAAGTATACGATAGGACGGATTAACTATCATTGTTAACCGTCAAATCAATCAGATATTGATTAGTTATCTATGGTTTAACTTTCCGTTGATCTTTACGGAATCATTTACTCTGTATTGTGAATAGTAGAGGTTGTTGTAACCGCAGTTGTCTCAGTTAAACCTGACATCTGCGCGTTAACTCAGTAAGGTAGAATATTTTCAAGTGTTCAGTTGGTTACAGTGCCGTGACTGGAGGCTCATTCTAGTCAAGATAGACAACAACCAGAAAATCCCTAACACTTCGTTACAACACCATACAATACTTCCATTTAAAAACAAAGTTTCGAACTCTGTAAACGATTTTTATCGAAATTTCTACGTACAATAAATAAATAGGAATAAATTAAAATTTAAGAACTATCGAGGATTTCTGAAACTTGTAAACTTTACAAAGGTCCTCAAGATCTTTATACACAAGCCAGTTTTCGTGATTATGTCTAAAGAGAGAGTATAAAGTTTGAGGCTGATTGTTTAAATGGCTTCACGTCCAAATAGCTATTTTACCTTCTCAAACTCTCACTACTTAATTCAGGATTACAAACCTAAACTTAATCTAAAGACCACTCTTTAAGGTTTCAGTCGCATTAACGCTGTTTGACTACACACTAATAATAAGCTATTGAGTCGACATAAAGACTGCTATAAAAAATTAGTTCCGTTTCTTATTCAAAGTGGAAAAAGTAGTTATCGAATCCAAAGATAAGTATAAAGTAAATCAAGGGAGGCCATATTCAAGTTTACAAATATGGGTGAAATATTGCTGATAACTACTTTAGTCAGTCAGTTAAATTACTGTAAAGCGGGATCTTTTTGGTAATACGAAATGACCTAGTGGATATTTCAGTAGAATAACAGAAGAAATGCTTTCGAAATTATGTCACTTGGTTAGCCAACCTGCAGTACCTGAAACTCAGATGGCAAAAATTTGTTGACGATTTTCACTTAAAGCATCGCTTACAAACTGATTGACGAACTTTGGGGACAAAAATATCAAAACGGTGTACTGAAATGCAGTGACGTGCGATGATTACATAATGAAATAAAACGTTTCTCTGAGTTTCACACTGCACTGACTGAGAGCTATTTGCTTTTGTCTCATATACAAAGGATGTGAATTACACACCGAATACAAGTCTCACACATATGAAGATGGTCTTCTTCATGGTTATTTCTGCTCCTGCTTATATCAGTTTTACTCGTTCACCTTCATTACATCGTACTGTTCTATATAACGTATATTCAAATGAGATAAATTCTATTATGATCTTATTAAAACAAGAACAGAATCTGAGTATTGTGGTATAGTATAATTCCATCAAAATATAATGTCATTTAATAAAATACCCACAGCAGGTGATTTTGGTAAGATTATGATCACTAAACTGTACTAGGAACATCATCACTGAATAAACATTGTTGCATCACTGCGTGTTTTATCATATAAAATTATTCGATTATGGTACCACTTTGATTTAAATAGTTCGCCGGTGGCACAACGGTAGAATGCTCACCAAACACGCAGCTGGTTCCGGGTCCGATCCTCGGCTGACGCACTGCTTTACCTCGCTAAGCCAATAATAAGACTGGTAAGGAGGGAAGGTTGGGCATGATGCTAGCATCCCTATCCCGTAAGAATAAATACCACTGCTGTCCAAACTTCAAAGCTCTAGTCTAAAGCCCTGTATTGCACAGGGAACATAAAGAAATAAAAAAAAACTATCTAAATAAACACAGGAATATTTAAATTTAATGTTTTACTACTTTTATTGGTATCAGTAGCCTAAAAATAACATGTGAAATATTAACCAAGTTTGTCGTAGGAAAACTATAATTTAAAACAACTAACTCACCTTAAGGTCAACTTGCCCTCCGTAGCCGACACGGTAAACATTACGCGCCCCACTGTCCCAAGCAACTGTGGCTGCTGACCGTGGAGCCCAATTATACCAATCTTTTCGGCTTGTTATTCGACCTTGTGTAGGTAAGACGATAGGGTCAGAAGATCCATTATCATCTGAATTAAGGTTGGTTCGATAAGCACTTCCAGATCCTGGTGATCCTAACATGATCGAAGCACTGTTTGATGCAGTGAAGGGTAAAACACAGTCTTGATTATTCCAACTCCAGTCTATACCTCGAACAACACGAGCTTTAGGAAAGAGGCCCAGTGATTCTATGCGCCTCTGCCTCGTTCGCTGACCAACAATGACTCTGTTGTGTAAATGTAAAACAAAACGTTTATATTCAGAAAAACTAATAAATGTCGAAAAAATGCTTGAATACAGAATATTCTTTTCGATAACTTCTTCGTTCATAACAATATTTATATTCTTAAGTAATATCCAGCAGTTAAGATCAGTGGAATTACAGTTGGAAAAAAAGATGTTTAAGTGACAATAGGCATAAAATGTAGTACTAAACGGAATATCAGGTGAAACTGAGAAAATGTATGCAACAGTTAAATGAAGGTAGTTAAAAAACTGACGGCCGAGATAAGGAAAACCTCTGAACAAACTTATTTTGAGCACATAAGTTAGTCATATGCAAAAAATTTTAAAAAAAACTAATCTAACTTTTCAACTGATAATGCCATTCTGGTAGATAATTAGCAGTCTCCTTAGACGTTTTTATTCTTTTTTTCCACTAATGTTTCACTAGAAGTAACTGTCTGCTTTTTATGTGATTCCATTCATTCCAGTATTTTTATTGTTGTAACATAAAATATGGTAAGCATTTGCTAAGAATTCAAATCGGAACATGGACAGTCCAGTACAGTATTGTTCTGTAATAGATTAATATGTTTCATACAACACACAATGAAACAGTAATCTTCAATGAACGACATTTCCAATGCAATTTACTTCCTAAAAACACACTTATGTAACAATGCAACTTTTTGACTGTCACTACAGTTTCATTATTCATAACTTCACTTAAAATCTTGATTTGAAATAAATAATAAGTGTCAATAAACCATACAAGAATACATCACTGCGCTCTTCCTCATCACTTATGTTGCATATGCAAGACTCTCACTCGGTTATCTGTAACGAGTTGTAGACATAATTTACAGAAACATATTTAGAGAAAACAACAGATTGAGCGAAGAAATATATTCCTTTTCAGTTAGTTCCTCGCCAACGGGGCTCTACACTAATACATAGTTTTTTACATCAAAATATTTTACTAATAAAGTGGTTATTTCAGTTAATCAGTTTTAGGTATTGGGAGGGGGTAAAATTAAGAGGTTAAAAGTCATCAAGACAATTAACTAATAGGTGTTAGTAACAAGATATTTAAGTTTTGAAGGAGGGGTGAAATTAATTACTGAATCAAAGATAAGTTGATTCTTTGGCGTTGGCAACAAGTTATTACATAATCAAGAAATTTGTAAAATGGCAGTGATGACTTAGAAAAATAGGATGACTCAGATGAGTTATGTAAAATACAAAAAAATTAATAGAATTAGATAGAAGTGTAAAAATTATAAAAGTTAACAAAATTAACAAAAATTAATATAGTCAAAAGATAGTTACATGGTGAGGGCAAACCCTCATTTTTTAAAAATTTAATACATATTATGTAGCTGTTCATGGCAAAGAAAGGGGCTGTACAAATTTGGCTTGTTCAGATGAATTCTGATTGTCTCTGCTGTATGTACAAGTCGTACTAGGAGACCATGCGAGAGGTTGGGTGATATACGATAAATAACTTCAAAAGCTTTGTTAGAGTCAATTTGATGTACAGCCCTTTTCTTTGCCATGGCCAACTACATAATATGTATTAAATTTTTAAAACGAGTTTTCCCCATCACCTTGTAACTATCTTTTGACTTTGTTAATTTTGTTAACTCATTGGTTAGTAAAAAAATTTCGATGTGAAATCTATTAGTGTACAGCCGTTGATGAGGAACTAATTGAAAAGGAATATATTTCTTCGCTCAATCTGTTGTTTTCTCTAAATGAGTAAATGGGAGTTTGGAAATTACTGAAATCTTCTGAGAAACATATTTACCTTCTCTTAGATTGATAATTACTAAGAGCATTACCATGGTCAGTATCTTTCCATGGGTAATTTTTATCTCTGACTCAACACTAGTCTTTCGTTTTTATTCGTCATCAAAAGCCATCAACGTCACTAACCTTACTGGCCCTGAATACTTAAGTGTTTCAAATCTTACGATAAAATACACAATAATGATTACTTTGGAGGTTTGCGAGTCATCCTAAAAATGTTTAACCTTTTTCTCTATCTGTTGTAAATATTTCCCCAGCAACTACTGAAAACAGTAACTCCGTATGATTCACACATTCAGACAAAATGAATGCAAATGTCCATTAAATAAAAGAGTTAAACAATTGTTCTACGAAGGGCTACTGGAGAACCCAGATTATTGATACTACTTTGAATCATAAATATACTAAGAAAGAACATGGAACACATATCAACAGACGATATACAGGAGTGATCTCCTGAATTTTGCCCCATTTACTGAATGGTAATGTGCTAGTTGATGAAACTTTTCCCAAATAACTTCGGAAATGGGATCATATTCCTGTTAAATTTCATTTTTTGAAGAAATAGCCAGCTGTTCAGTGTTTGGTATTGGTTGTTTAGACAAATATGTCAGGTTTAGTAAAAACCCTTAATCGAAGACATAGCAACTTCTGAGAACGAAAAATTAGTGTTCGAAAATTGTTCGCCTTATACCCATAGATGACGTAGAGTTCACGAGTATACTATTAAGTACAGGAGCACTACGGAAAGAGATATTAAGAAGTTGTAACTGAAATATACTTTAAAAATATTTAATTGATTACCTTGTCTTATACGGTGCTGTGATTCGTAGAAACTGGTGGCCCAACGAATGCTTATCACCATGATAACAAGTAGAACACAGATCTGTGCTTAAACACACTACACATTTCCATCTAATCCCATAAATAGGGGACTGAAATGAGAATTTTAAATCTGAGTTAGTCATGATACTTTTAGAGACAAAATATATAAAGCGGTGAAACGCAGAACAAAACGAGATGAACTGTAAAATACTTACTGAAATATTCACTTAAAATAACATCAAACGAAGACTCATACCAGTAGCTAGACATATTCAAAAAGCTCATGAGCAAGGAGCCTACTGTAGTAAAATCCATAGGTGCAGACGAATGATAAGGACAAAACTTAGATTCGGGGCTTCCTAATGTGAATTAAAACTGCTATCAGATGGCCAGTCACAGACCTCGGTGACCAAATCGCAAATTTGCCAGATTGCACTAAATCGGCACCAAAAATAAGGTACGGTGTGTTCAAGTTTCAACCTTAATGCTGCATGATAATATACGTATGGTAAAAATTGCCCGAAGCATATTAGAAATAATAAATGACCTCGTACTTTACTAGTGTTTCTAGTGATAACCCAGCATAAGCGAAATCTCTGCTATCAGAAAATGTTTACGAATTCTCCACTTGTTATCATAGATATAAATCTATAATACGTATAGGCCAACACACAAGATAGACAAGTCAAATAGCAACCAATAAAGAGAGCTGACTTATTTTTCAATATATCATACTTCATACCAATCAAGTAGGTAGTTACCTGGGTTCCAGTGGGAAGTCGTGACCAGTAGGGTGCAGCTGGTCGGGTGTGAGGACAAATACTCACCGAAGACATTGGCTAGCGGTCGCGCTATGTCGTGAATTGGCAGAAGTTAGAATTCAAGGACCATTTGATCGGGTCCCAGTGGCTTAATGGTATACGAGCTCGCCTTGTAACCGGAAGGTTCTGGGTTCAAATCCCGGAGGGTGCGTACTGATGAAGAGTCCCAAACTAGGACGAAACGGCTGTCCAGTACTCCCAAGTTTTCCAATGGTTCTCTAACTACTGTCAGCTCATGATGAAATCCTGAAACCAATCAAATCCCTACAAACCAACACTTGAACATCCTTTCTATTGTCTAGTAAATAAACTAATCGATTGATATAAGTAATACTCCTATTCCTTACTTGATTATTAAATTGCCAAACTAGCATTTTATTTCTATTATCAACTACACAGGCAAGTACAAATAATTCCAACCCTTGAAGACTTTTTCGTTTCTTATAACATAGAGTCACAGCCTCTTCTCTTCCAACCTATTGCATTCAGGAGCTAGTTTTTCTCATTATAAATCCATAAAGCACCAAAATGAAAACCACAATAATGAATCGGCTACTTCCTCGTCTTATTATTTAACTAGCTATGTAAGTGATTACTGTTATTAGGGGGAGAACAGCCTTACATTTATTGATTAGAACTTATCACTTGTCCAATGACCCTTTGACCTTTGTCGGTGTTTTACTGTTTGTATACGTCCAAATTATGTAGTTTACGCTTCCGTATATGTAGTAAATTCTCTTAGCAACAAAAGGAATATTTCCAAATGTGTCACTAGAACTGTGAACAAGGGTCAAGTTAACAACAGTAGTCATAATTTTTTCGTGAGCAGTAATTAAACTTTTTGGAGCTAAGTCATCCAGACTACTATCATGTTGATTACGTCACATTTTTTGACTGAATTTACCATGATAAGGTTGAGTGGTTATTTGATATGCGAAAGTAAGAGTGACTGACAATGACTCACCCACCCACTACTCACGAGAAGATTGCGTCACTATCATAAGCTCTCACTGAGCTCTTATGACAATAAAGAGAAAATGTTGGTCAATATCAATCCTGAACTCTGCATACAAAAGAAGTTTATTCAGTTAGTAAATCTACAATGGACTTGATCTATCTTAACACCAAATATGTAATTTTCGTTTTTTGTTTCCACTACTTATTAAATCTCTACGCCTTATTACTACTGTTGTTAACTTGACCCTTGTTCACAGTTCTAGTGACACATTTGGAAATATTCCTTTTGTTGCTAAGAGAATTTACTACATATACGGAAGCGTAAACTACATAATTTGGACGTATACAAACAGTAAAACACCGACAAAGGTCAAAGGGTCATTGGACAAGTGATAAGTTCTAATCAATAAATGTAAGGCTGTTCTCCCCCTAATAACAGTAATCACTTACATAGCTAGTTAAATAATAAGACGAGGAAGTAGCCGATTCATTATTGTGGTTTTCATTTTGGTGCTTTATGGATTTATAATGAGAAAAACTAGCTCCTGAATGCAATAGGTTGGAAGAGAAGAGGCTGTGACTCTATGTTATAAGAAACGAAAAAGTCTTCAAGGGTTGGAATTATTTGTACTTGCCTGTGTAGTTGATAATAGAAATAAAATGCTAGTTTGGCAATTTAATAATCAAGTAAGGAATAGGAGTATTACTTATATCAATCGATTAGTTTATTTACTAGACACCATAGAATGGAATGCTTGCAAATGTTGATCAAAGCAACTTTTGGTTCTGATGAAAGTGTGTCATTGAGTAAAAGTAAAATCTAGCTAATTTCAACCAGGATAAATGAAGCAAAATGCCTACCGATGAATTCATAAAACCTTGGTCCGTAAATGACAATTGCTGAAATAAGCTTGACTTATATTGCGATAAATAAATTGGAAAAAGTGTTGAAGGATATTTCCCTACATTTGGGAGTAGTTAGGTTTACAGTCTGTAAGTAAACAAGCCAATCTATTGAACTCACTACGAACGTTATGCATAATCACAAGCCCATAAAATAAACTCGAAACAATGAGTGTTGAAGTAAGTGAGTGAAGAGTATATGTTTATGACACATAAGAGCAAACTGTCATTAGAGCCTTAGGAATTATTGGAGCTTTAGAAATAACAGTTACATATCGAAAAGACAACAACCTCACGTCTTACCTCGTGACAACCTTCACAGATAGTTCCAGGATGCTTTAATCCTGTTGGTGAACTATCTAATACACGTAAATCAAACCCTAGAACACCACAGCGGTAATTCGCTACTATCCCGGAATCCCAGACGACAATAGCTTCTCCAGATGTATCGAACCTTTTAACTGAACCAACATGTCCTTCTCCTCCGTCCTAAAATTAAATCGCAATGAAAAAAGCACCTGGTAGTGTTAGTCTTTCATACTTATACTCTCTCTACAAAGAAATTCACACAGCACCTGAAATATATGTACGTATTTGCGGAAGATTTGTACGAAGTGTGATAAATCACTCATTCGTTTAGCACAATAGATCTTAAGAACAACGAGCTCTGCTTAGCAATGAAGCGAAACTCTGTAGAAATTTACATTATTGCCCTGCCGGTTCTTATTCATTCACTGGCACATCTTTTCGTATATTACAAGTTCACTTTGGCCCAACAACTGGAGACAACATAACTCACCTGTGTGCAGCAAAACCTCTGATACATCCCTGTTAAAAAGAGACTTTACGTTTAGGACATTCAACTAACTGTTTTTAGCTATCGAAATCAGACTTTGCCTGACTTTCTATACCCGTATTTAGCGTAGAAATGTTAATTGCAAAAATGCGAACATCATGTAAAAATCAGACCTCTTCAAAATAATACTTAGGTTTTCCAACAACCAAGAAAATAATTATCTTGACTAGTTTGTCACTGATGTTAAGCCAAGTTTTCTACTTCAATGAGCCAAGTGGAGAGAAAAAGCAATTCCGTTTGACCACCTTGATTTCAACATACACCACATCAAATAATAGACTGAAAAACATAACGAACAAGTGAGGAAGACATACGGCATGCTGAAACTTATGAAAAGTTTATACCCCTTCATATTCATATCTATCTCAGCTATTCAAATTACATGTTCCAAGTTTTATTAGAATGTTCAAAATGGCTAATTTGCAGACAAAATGTAGACTTGAGCTAAGTTTATAATTCCATCCACAGCAACGTTATTGCTGGCCAGGTTGCTCCATCCTATATGAGAGACTAAATACAGTGACTCATAGTCAAAAACAGCTAACATTTTCGTATATTTCACCTTAAACTTTTAAAATTTAGTCATTCTTCTTTTACACCTAATGCTCTTCATTTGGATGACTGCGAAAATAACCACAAAAACTATCCCTAGCACATGAAGACAGTAATGCAAAAAGTACACACTTTGATAACCTGGTCAGGCAGGCAATTTTTCAAAGCCTTTGTGGCAAGTAAATTGCGCAGCTTCTCGGAATCTGTCACAGTGATGACCTGTTCTCCAGGGTCTGGTATTTACTGCTACTAGGTGAATTTTTATTTTGTATATCAGTTATATATTGGATATTGGATATATAAGTCACTGCAAATCTTTTTGATTGTCAGAGCTGTGTAGCTAAGGCCTTAAAATCATGCAGCTGTAATAAATATTTGTTGAAGTTTGCATAATGAAAACCCATTTTTAGGCATCAGAAAATATATCTGAAATCACATTTTTAGTCTTGTCTTTTAAAACTATATTTGGAATCCAAAAAGTTTTACGCCTAAGGAGTTCTTCAAAACCCGTCATACAATGCCCTCAACTACAGACACTCTTCTTCTTACATACATTTCGCTTCATAGTAATGATCGAGATACACCTAATACACGAACGCTTTTGTAATTGTTATATACATCTGCGTTAAAAAATCGTCACTTTTGCAGTACTATATAAGACCTGGAATTCTAAGACCTACTAAACCTATGAAGCAGGAAAGTAACAGATGTCTCACAATGAATATAAAATTATCTTAAATATGATAATGGTATTAGGATGATTAAAAGTTACCTGTTTATTCCATTTCCAATCAGGCCCCCGAACAACTCTGCAGCCGACACCTGTACAGTACGTCCCAGCATCCTGTAATTCGTTTTGAGTAACATTCTCTCGATTAGAACGCATCATTTCGCGACTCCAGCAACCAAGAGCTGATTTCGAAAAATATGTTTTTAAGAGTGAATATTCGTTGATGAATTTAAACACAAAACCTCGACTTCGAGCTATTAACTTCTTTATAGGTATTACTTGTTTTTCACTTACTATATCTACTGCTCAACCGAACAAAGAAGTCTATTTATACGGGTAGGGATAGTGATTTTGTCGTATTTGTATTCGTATGAATACATATTTAGTCTGGGAAACCCCATTGTATGCTTGACAACTTGTTCATCAGCGCACAGCTTTTTCACCTCTCTTCAGTGGCTTAGTTATTTTTTTGGGCCCTGAGTGATTTAATCCGACACTATACCTACATTTGATGAATTCATTACCTAAAGCATAACTTCGTAGAAACAATCGAGTGGTTTCCCTGCTTAAAAAAGTCTTTGGTTCATTGAATGCACTTGTCTATAATACTTTGGCTTGATTTACCAGTCACCAGGTAGAAGACTACACAGATATTGTGGATTAGTAGACATTCTATTCGAAGGGTGGACAAACTAAGATTATTTTGGAGGAAGTGTGTGTCAGTGGCACTGCGGTTATGACACTCGCCAACCGTGCAAATGGTCCGGGGTTCAATCCACTATCGACGCACACCTGATATCAGTTGGTCGATCTCCAAAATTTTGGCCACCAGTATCACTTGCTGGAAATCTCATAATTGTACCAAAAATACTTTGTGGAATCAAGCTATCATAAAAAATGCAAATAAACCCACAAAAGAAGGGGCTGTTCAAATCATACATGCACTACCTTAGTTGATGATTTCTTCCTGGAACCTTCTCAGACTTTTGTGAAGAAACATATGGGTAATATGCGTATTAATGAAAAGTACTAACAGTATCACAGGATTACTGCCAGAATTATATGAACATCTCAAATCCAAATTTCGAGTGACACACATTTTTAATGCTCAGCTTTCATTCTATCATAATGTGACTGCTCTTGTAGCGCCGGCAACACAATTTAGAAACAAATTATTGTAAATAAATAATTATTACTTCGAACCAGGGTAACGACTGCCCTTTCATTTTCGAAGGGCATGGAACAAATTAAAAGAAAGATAATATTCAGACGTCAGAAGTCCACTTACTTTGTTAGAACTACTTCCCCTCGTGGGTGACCGTAAATGGTGAGTCGTTTGAATTGTGGTGGTTGGATAGGCATCTTTAATGATTAGGTAATCGAGATAATTTTTTTGAGGTATGTAGTGTAACTGTTTTGTTGCAGAGGTTTATTGTCAGCGGAGCGATAAACAATTCTTGGGTCGCCAATTCCTCTTTTCATATCTTTTGTTGCTTGCAGTATTCATATTCGCGTCGATAGGTTTTCTCCCGAAAGCAACAGCCTCAAGATCCGTGTGTTGAGAGTCTTCAAAGGTGATTAATTGACAGTCACGTCGAAAGAACTCTTGAAGAGAAAGTGAGGAAAAGAGGCCAAAAAAGTAGAAGTTAATTCAAAACAACGAAATTAATTAGTTGCAATAAGAACGTTGTTTCCTACCTGATCAAGTTAGTGCGTGAGCCACTCAGTTACGAGTAGTCATCAGCAGACGCCAACATAGTGCGCATCGGTGTCAGTTGATGCTTTCAAGAGGGGCTAGTGGTTATTCCAACTACGCCCAAATGAGAACACTGTTTTTTGCTATTTTGTCTTGTGTTAATGCAATCTACTTGTTTTATTAAACGTAACACCATACCCGCTATTTACGTCCCCTCATTAGAAATAGGACTTAAGTACCATCTGATCAGTTTCTTTACGTCCACTCATAGGCTACCGGACGTTGCTGAATACATGATTTAGGAAATGGCTTCCTCCAGAAGATTTTTTCTTCTTCGAGATTCGGTCACGCTTTGTGTTTTTGTCCCATTCGTTTGATGACTCCACTAACAAGGACGACCCTGCCATTTTTATTACCAGTCTTTTGTTCAATTTCAAACTAACCTATTGAAAAGACACCCACACAAAATCAGTTTAAGAATTGGAATTTTAAGCCCCAGGCTTACCTTATTCTCCAAGGGAGACTTTCAAGTAATGGATTTCTTACGCACATAATCACCCTATTTGTCTAATCAAAATATTATCTTTCAGGATAGTGTCAGCAGACAACTGCTTCCCTTACAGCGCCTCAGCAATACCCGCAGGGTATCTGCGCTTAGCATACCATATTTTACTAAAGCCAACGTAATGCTTGTCTGAAAATCTTCGCAGACGACACTGGAAGTTAAGTTAAAGATGCACATGGTCCGAGGTTCGAATCCCTGCCGACGCACACCTGATATCTATGGTCGGCCTGCAAAATTTTGGCCACCGATATCCATGGTGAAAATTCAATAGTTGTACCAAAAATACGGTGTGGAATCAAACTGTAATCAAAATATAAAAAATTTTTAGTTTTTTTAAATGAGGCTTTTAATTATTCCTAAAATTTCGTTCACATTCAGTGTAATTCAATAAACTTGACAGCCATAATAATAGTGATTTCACACATCCCTTTTGATACAACGTGAAGTTTTCAGCTCGATGGGAATTCCTGCCAGCTCGTAACTAATTAATGTCTGATTATGGGTGCTGATCAGTCGTACATTAAATTACTCCGGCACACTATCTAGAGGGAATACCTACCTTCCTTCCATTTAATCTAAATTTTCGCAGAGAACACGAAAACTCAGCCTCGGTACTGACGTAAATGGTACAAATCGTATCAAATCATTTGTCTTCAAAAATGGGAGTAACATATTCCAGGCATGATGCTGTGAGCAATGTACATCCAACAAAGTGACGAACCATGGAACACCCCTATCTGCTGGCACTATTGCAGTGCAACAGTCCACCACTGCCAGCAACGCGCCACCATCTAAGTATGCACTTATCAAAGACCCTACCCCAGACACTTTCAACATTAGGGAAAAATTTGCCAGGGGTATCTGCGATTCCATCGCCACTCATAACTTTCATTTCGTATGATCAATGCTGGCTCCTTACTCAACAATGTGCATGGCTTCATGACATTTTCCTTAATTTGCAACCCGTCCGTCATCGTGAGTAATGATACATGGTGCACTATTCAGATTTTGATAAGCATGCTTCTGTACAAAACTACTATCTCTTCAGGAATGACAGAATTGTATATCAGGTTCGATATTAAGGTCGCAGTGTTTTTACGTAAAGCTAATCTTAGATAACGACTCAGTAGGGACTATCATAAGTCTCTGGTACTCAAATTCCTAATTTGGGGCTCAATTTATCATGCCTATTGCTCATCTATTGAAAGTGGTATGACGCTTGCTAACACGTTCTCTTACGCCGCTTCATTACCTCACACAGCTAAGATTAAGAGTGTGAAGACTGTGATACCCTTGACGTGGTCTGGTAATCAAAAAGATATGATGCATTTTCGAAGTGCATAGAAACAAAAGACCGGCAACAACAAGTGCAACATCCCACTAGGCTATGTAAGACTTTAAACCTAGTCTTCACTAAGGGTATAATCTCCACAACCTTTCGAGTATTACGAGCGGTTTCTCGGCACGACCACAGAGTAGTATTTGGTGCACCTAATATTTATACTAGCACGAGTTCATCAATTAGTGCCAACGAAGTATTACCTAGAGGTTTCAGGCATGTTAAGTGGGATGGACCGGAGGCACAACTATCCTGTCTGCACTGGGAGCCACACCTTACACTCAGAACCGATTTATAGACAAACAATATACTCTATGAGGATTGAGGATAATAATAATAATTTATATTTTTATATAAACATAAACTTATATGAAAATGCATGCCATTTTTACAGGTACGATTAAGTATGATATAATGTCAAATCGTAGATTGTCTACAATTTAATTATGTTTCATCAGTTAAATATTTGATATATATATATATATAAATACACTCATTGTCTGAACCAGGCCGTACAGCTATTGAATTGTACAATTGTCCTCCAGGTTTCGCGGGGAAACCGACTTCGTTTCGTTTTCCTCCCGTGGTTGTAGGCATACGATAACTAACCAATATTGAGGTAAGTACAACGTTTACAAGGGATTAAAAGCTGTTTTAGAAAAGTTAAAGTGCTAAGGTGAATCATTAAAGTGTAATATGTTAAGTAAGTGCAATATACAATTGGTGGATGGTGGCTAGCAGTGTAATCCAGGATGCGATTTCGTCCTATTTGGGACTCGTCAACTGGATGTACCTGCATTTCTCAGTGAGTGATGATGTTCCCACCGAGGCTCGAACCCAGTACCCATAGTTTCAAACGCCAAAGCGTTATCCACTAGACCACTTGGGCCACGAGAGCCACCTCTTGTGCAACGGGTCATATTAATCATTGAATTCAATTTTGATTTTCCCGTCGATTGATTGGACCGAAGTGCTCGGTCTCAGGTTGACATGTCGGCTTCTTGTGCAGATGCTTCGACGATGTCTGGGGATTTGATTAGTATACAATTGGTGGATGGTGGCTAGCAGTGGAGTCGAGGATGAGCATTTCGTCCTCTTTAGGACTAGTCAGTGCAATATATCATTAATAAATATATTTATATAGGAAACAGAATGGGGAAATAATTAATCCTTAGGTCAACAACGTTCATTTGCAATGAATAATAATAACCATATACTTCGTACTATCATGATGTCCACTTTTGACTTTAATACAATTATTTTCAAGCCAGTTATTTTTATTTCATGCCTTTTTGACTATTTGGTGCACAACCGTAACCCACAGAGAATAGGAATAGAACAAGTAGAATCAAATTCATAAAGAGCTATAAAATGTTAGGTTTAAAGAAACGTAATGAAGATCAAGCGAAGACGTTGTTAATGTAGTTTAAGATTGAACGATCAGTTCATGGCTGTTTGCTCAAAACCAACTTCCCCAATTTTCGCGGGGGCATCAATACGACATTCATCGTCTCATCGGCCGCTGTTCAGAAAGAAGTCAGGCCAAAACTCTCAGAAGTAATATTGTGATTTATTATTGTAATATTGGTTCATAGACCTTAGATAAAGCTTAATTTTAAAGCTGGATATATGTTGGTGCTGCAATAAAGAATTCTCGAGGAATCGCAAGACGCCTATCTACTCGACTGCAAAGGAAGTGGGTGAAGATAAGCTCCCGTATGGAGGATGAGGGTATCG